TAAGAGTTTAAACACTTACAAACATCAAATAACCTTCAAATGGACAAATAACCTTTTGGACACATACATGGATACTTATTCAATTTCAGGTCAGAAATTTTCAACAATAATTGATAACTTTTCAAAATTTGCAATAGCTTATCCTATAAACGAATCAGCAATTGAAATATGTCGAAACTTAATTAAACTGTTTTAACATCACGGAACACATGCAGAATAACCACAGATAACGCACAGTCATTTAAAAGTAATCTAGTGCAAGACCTTTGCAAGACTTACCAAATCGAGTTGCACTTTACGACACCATACAACCCAAACTCAAATTCTCTAACCAAACGCTTCCATTCGACACTTGGAGAAAGCCTTATTGCACTTAGAAGTGACCATAGAACAAAAACAATTCAGGAACTTGTGGATATCGCGGTACTGAACTATAATAATAGTATTCCTCGCATGAGTATACGCCTTTCCAAATTCTAAAAGGAAACTTCAACTATCAGTTAAATTTTGAGAAAAACCTTGACCAAATTCAGACAGACTATATTTATGAGTTAGCTGAAACTTTTAAGGAATTAAATATTAAAGTAAACTTAAAACTAAACGCAAAAAAGCCAACAGATCTCACAGAACAACTATTGACAACTCCTTTTAACCTAGCAAAAAATCTAAAACCCAAATATAAATCGATTAAGTTTAAAAATCAAAGTCATCCGAAAGACTTTAAAAGACGATTGTAAATTTCAGATGAAAATAGTGCTAATTCTACTACCATTACTGGCCAACGCTCAGAATAAAATTTACCATCACGTTTTCTGCCATATAAACTTAACCAATATTAAGCAAAGTTCGAGACTAATGTAAAAAAGTCTTTTGCAAATAAATCAAACAATTAATAAATCACAACCACCTATGTACAATCTTTTAGTTACTAGAACTAGAAATTTATTAAATCAAGTACATTCAATCAAAAACTTTATCACTCATTACACCACTAACACAAAACATAGAACTAAAAGAGGACAATTCAATTTACTGGCAAAAACACAAAAATACCTATATGGAACGTTAGATGCAGATGATGGCGAACGTTATGACAATTATACTAAAGTCATTCAGGAAAATCAAAATACTTTACATGATGATATTTCCTCAACTCAAACCATTGTTAAATGCTTCATAAAGGTTATTGATACCCAGCTGTCCAACATAAAGTCAAATCAGCAAAACCTGCAAGAACGCTTGAACAACCTAACACAAATGAGTCAGTCTACGTCAACAACTATTTACTTAATCGTATTACCAGACATTCACATCCTCAATGAAATTCGCAACAATGTGCAAACTGCTATCGACTTCGCAGAAATTAACGTACTACATCACAGCATCTTAAAATACAAAGAATTGCGAACGATTATACAGAAACTGAAACTAGAATCTTGAATTCCGTTTGATAATATAATCAAATACCATTGCAATCCCGTTGATATCCGGCAAACCCTATACTTTATTTCGAGTTTATCCAATCCCGATCAATAATCAAATAATAACCCTTACTAATCCATATCTATTAAAGTCTTCAAGCGATTTCTTTAATTTAAAGGAAAAATGTCCAAAAATTGGGAAAATATCTCTTTGTTTAGAGGAAGTTTTAAATTCAAACGAACCTTGTATAATGAAATCATTAAATCTTACACATGATTGTCCAATGGTTCCAATAAATTTCAAGAAAACTTCAGTCACTCAATTTGAAGATAACTCTATTATAATAATACCAACTCAAAGTGAGAACATTCAATTTCAATGTCCAAATCAAAAATCGATTGAGATTATAAATCAACCATCATTGATTTTACCATCAGAATGTTCAACAAAAATAAAGGATAAAATCTATGAAACCCAAAACCCGAAAATCTTCAGATCACGGTTAAAATTACCAACTATCAATATTGACGAAAAATTGGTACGAGAAATTGAACTTTTACAATTAACAGAAATTAATTTAGATAATATTCATGAAGATTTAGAAAGAGCAAAACAACTAACAGTTCAACATTTAAAGAAATTTGATGTTGTTAGCTCTAGCGTATCAATTACCTTAATATTAATTATTATTTATATCATTATTGGAACTGTAATGTACTGTTACCATAGGAAATATAAAAGCAATGTAAAAGTGGGCATAAAACTAGAAACCCTCGAAAATCCACCCCAATTTTCTCAGACTTAATGAGGGAGGAGTTATATGGCCAGTTCCAATGATGCAATGTTAACCAGAACAACTTTGTCAAGTCATCTTCTATTTTCCCATTTATACGGCAAGGTTTGCGTATGCAAATTAGTCACTAAGATTACTTGCTTGTTCCATGTAATTTCGTTTGTAAAATAAAGTTTTTAAAAAAGCGTAATTGCATGATTAAGAACAAAATTGTGGCACCATACAGCATTTGTAATATTGTTTTTGTGATGCTTTCATTATTAATAAAGCACATCACGAATTCTGAACATTCAAACACCCAGACAATTCAAGGGCAAGCCGTATTCCCGTATGGGCTTTCGATCGAACGACCAGCGATATGACGTCACAACCATTCCCGCGCGTTTCTGCCCAGTTTCATCAGAAACAAGCGAAACGCAGTTTGACGAAACTAAGTTTATTTAAACGCCGAAATTAAACGCGTTTAACGACGGA